CTTTCAAAAAAAATAAATAAATTTAATCCGAAGAATAATAATTAATCATTTTTGAAATCTTTCCTTCATTTTCCAATATTCCTTTAAGACTCCATTCTTGGCCTAACCTTCCAACGTTTTTCTGTCCCCCATATGCGAAAAATAAACATTCAGGCAATTTTTTTTTTCTTTTTCTTGATTTTATTTTGGTTGATTGGAGATTAAGCTAAATGACAGTACTTATTGATAAGAATATCTGGTTGTGACTGCACTTCAGTTTTGTGTAAACAATGAATTACTCAGTAAACTGTGCATTAATTGATTAATATTATATTTATTATATTTTATTATTTAAAAAAACTGAAATGTTAGAACTGTAAATATACAGTAATATGTTTATATTACTGTTTTAATATGTTTTTTTACTGTTTTCAAGGCTGCATTTTAAAAGAATGAAATTGTCTAGAGAGCTGTTCTTAAAGAAATTTCTTTTTGTTTACACTTGTGTATACAAAATGACAAAATAAATATGTCTAAGTCTATACTCAGTGCTGATCCTGATAAGAACAGTAACTGTACTCGGACTGAACAGATTGCTTTGATGTGAACACACCATGAGGACCACCATGTGGATTCAGCATCTAGCTACCACAGGACCACATGGAGACCAAAGAGGCTGTGAAGCAGACCATACGAGACTCTGATTGATTAATTAGCTTGATGAGTGATAGAGACACTGACAGAATTTTGGGGACAGACAGTTTTCTCCTCAGCTATGTTCATCATTTGACTTCAAATCAGACCAGGATAATTCTACATTTCTAACTCATTGTGATTATGACTGATTAATTTTGATTTGTTTTGGAGCATTTTGCTCCAAACCCACACCAAGATCAGGTTTTATGTCACTTTTTGCTTTGTTCTTAAATAACTGAGGATCTGATTGGCATAAAAGGTCTATAAATTAGATGTTAGTGGTAATTATAAGACTCAAAATGGTTTTTTTTTGCTCGCATGGGCTGACAGCAGGATTTCCCCAGTGTAACCCTGGTTTTTACTACCTTTTTGAGAATGTAGGGTTTTCTGTGACTTCCTGTGATGTCCCCTACTGTGACTGAGCGATTGGTAAATTTGGATGGATGGTTTATCTATGATGAGCAGTCACAGGAGGCCTCCAGGTGGGAGTGAGAGTAGAATAATTTGACCTTATTACAGCTATAGGCTTAGGTTACTTAGTCTAATGTAAAGTCAAATCATGTGTACATATGAAACAAAAACAGCTTTTATTTGCTAAGATGAAACCCAAATTGCAGTTAAATGCTGAAACTGTGGTCTTGATTGACAAAATTTGGTCTGTGAAGTTCTGATTGTGATTGCTTTTGACCCCTGATTAATATTACATCATCAGCGGGACTGCAGATTGTTTATTCCTATTGATGATGTTGAATGAAACAGTACTTAAGGTTTTGGCTCTATTTTAATATCATAATCATGCACATACATGAATAGGTTTTCGCACATGCAAGTGTTTGTTTAAAGGTGATTGTAAAAATGTCACCTTTTCAGGGGAAATTGTTAGAATTATTTTTAATGAAGATGCGTAAGTCTGTTATCTCAAGCATAGTAATGCTAATCACTCAACATTTTCCTTTGTGTAATAAAGCTTTGCCTTATTTAGTGCCTCTTNTACACATTTAATTCCACAAAAACTAAACTTCATTATTTTTGGTGCAGAGTTTGCTCATAAAATGTTATTACAATTCAGTTCTGTAAGAGAATTGCCACCACTTTTCTCTAAAGACTGGTAAATCATCTATAGCTTTGATCTTCAACACTACACATTGGTTTGGAATGTAAGATGCTCCTCTGTAAATGCTAAATTTTTCTATATCACCATTTCAACCCAAGAGACTCCAAAGCACTTAATAGTCAATCATTAACAAGCACATTCACACAGATGGTGACAGGTTACATTTAAGCCATAGCTGCACTGGAGCAAACTGATAGAAACAAGGCTGCCAGGTGCCACGGGCCCTCTGATGGCTGTAGGACAATAGTAATAGTATGATTCAGAAAAAAAATAGTATCTTTACCTTTTAACAACATTTCTGTTTAACAGAGGAAGCTGTCATTTTCAACTGTACAACACCCTTAAGATAACCTGTCTTAATGTAAGATAATGAATCAGTGTTGCAAATCTCCCAGTCCAATAAGTACAAAGTACCTGAATACAACCATATGTGGCACACTGACCATGGAAATATTTTTCATGCAAAATTTTTTATCTATTGTAATTAATTATATTTTAACATTGTTTTTTTACATTATGAAAATCTACCTTAAGGAAATACATATGTTGGATGTAATAACACAGAAGCTTGTAACCCTTGTTTGAAAACATTTATAGGCCTTTTTTATTCTATTGTTTTCCAAATAATCATTCACTTAATTTGTATATTGTACATAATAGGGCTTGTCTGTGTATTTTCTGAAGACTAGAGTAGGGTGGGACTGTCCCAAATTTAGTTGCCTAGAAACGCCCAAACACAACAGCACTTGGATGAGTGTACAGGAACTGAGGTAATTAGACAAAGAATACATTATCTTTATTAGAAAAATAATACACAACACAGGATTAGCGTTAAAGCAGTAGCAGTAAAGGGCACGTAATGTACTAAAGGAATATAGCAGCTTCCAACTACGACTGGAATAGACTTCCGGTATCGCGAGAAAACCCGAGAATATGAAAACAAGACAACAAAAATAAATTTGTGGACAACAAGCCAGAGTGCATGATGGCGG